TGAGAGGAGACAGTCCTTTGGCTCAGCTTGTGCGTTTCACAGTGCCCTAGGTATGGTCACTTCCCCCTGTCTCTCTCTAGTTTGTTTTGCTGCTGGTAAAATGAATAAATAAATAAAAAACAAACCTATGGATAAGCAAGGGAGAAAAGCAGGTTGGTAGGAGAACTCAGTGGTCAAACCTCAAAAACTATCAGGAAAAATGCAAGTACTCCTGTTGCTAGATATGACTTCAAACTTAAAAATCTTCCAGGGCTTTGAATTGATGCTGTGCGTATGACAGGAGTGCAGATGGCATGGGAGACGCTGACAGCACGGCATTATGGGTCTGTCATACAGAAAGTGACTGGAAGCTCATTGTCACTTTGCATTAGGGTGGCCATCATTCTTATGTTCCCTGCACTGACTTTTTGAATAGGACCAGTGTGGGGACATGTTGTTTTCATAAGCCAAGTGTGTTTGAATTTAAAAAACAAAACAAAATGACTATAGGATCAAAGGAAAGTAGGGCTGAAAGGGACCTCATGAAGTCATCTAGTCTAGCTCGCAGCTCAAAGCAGGATATTCCCTGACTAAACCATCCCAGCCAAGCATCTGTCCAACCTACTCTTGAAAATGTTCAGGGATGGAGATTCTGCAGCATCCTTAGGCAGCCTGCTCCAATGCCTGACCACCCTCGTAGTTGGAAAGTTCCAACCTAAATTTACTCTGCTGCAATCTGAGTTGTTTGCTTCTAATCCTGTCCCGTACAGCCACAGAATAAAAATCCATCTCTGTCCTTGTCCTTCAGGTATTTGAAGACTGCTATCAAATCCCTCCCCCCCCTTCAGTTTTCTCTTCTCCAGATTAAATAACCCTAATTCTTTCATCTTTTCTTCATAAATTATGCTTTACAGACTCCTAATAATTTTTGTGGCTCTCTGCTGGTCTCTTTCCAATCGGTTTACATATTTCTTAAACTGTGGGGCCCAAAACTGGACACAGTACTCCAGGTGTTGCCTCACCAGAGCTGAATGGAGCAGAAGAATGACTTCCCTTCATTTTTAAGTCACAGTCCTGTTAATACAACCACCATGCTGTTGACTTTTTTTTTTTTCCAACAAGTTTTTTGCACGCTGCTGGCTCATATTCAGGTTATGGTCCACTGTAACCCCCAGGTTCTTCTCTGCAGTACTGTAGTCAAACTAGTCACTCTCCACCATCTGTGTCTTTGCATGCACTTATTCTGTCCCAAGTGCAGAACTTTGCACTTGACCTTGCTGAAGCTCATCTGATTGATTGCAGACTATTTTTCCAGTTTATCCAGGTGATTCTGGATTTTAGCCCTACTCTGGAGTATCTGCAACTCCACCCAACGTGGTGTCATCTGCAGATTTACTAAACATACGCTTGGTCCCCTTATCCAAATCATTAGTAAAGATTTAAACAATACTGGACCCAGGGCAAACCCCTGGGGAACCCCATTTTATACCGCCTTCCAACTAGACATTGAGCCTTTGTGGATAAAAATACAACCAGCTTTGTATCCACCTTATAGTACTTTTATCTAGTTTGTATTTCCTTACCTTATTATTAAGAATGTAGTGGGAGATGGTGTCAAAAGCCTTGCTAAAGTCAAGGTATACTGGGCATTTATACACGTGCACCAGGGGGAGTGGCAGGGTCGCTTTAATTAGAGTGGCTCCAAGAGCCGCTTCTATTAAAGCGCCAGAAATGTCACGTGTATCAGCATCCCCACACTGAAAAATGGTGGTGGGGGCGCTTTAACTCAACAAGCTTTAGTTAAGGTGCCCCCACCACCATTTTTCAGTGGGGACGCTGATACATGTGCTGCTGGAGTCTGCTGAAGCATGGTAATTTTGACACCCCAGCAGACTGTATTAATTGAGTCTCCTCCAACATGCTGTAATTACAGCTTGTCAGAGGAGCCTTGATGCACATGTATAGGTGCCCATTATGCCCAGTGCTTCCCCCTCCACTCTCCCCATCCACAACTGTCACCCTATCATAGATGGACAGCCAGTTAATTAAGTATACCTTGCTCTCATCAAATCCATGTTGGCTGTTCCTGATCACGTTGTTCTTCCTCTAGGTGTTTTGCAATTGATTCCTCGAGAACCTGCACCATCATCTTTTCAAGTATTATGGTTAGTCTGACTAGGCTGTAATTTCCCCTTGCCACCACCTTTTCTTTCTTAAAAATGGGCACTCTATTTGCTGTTTTCTAATTTATTTGAGACCCTACCTGACCTCCACCGGTTCTCAAAGAAAATAGCCAGTGGCCCTGAAATTACCTCAGCTAATTCTATTATGCAGCTGACTTTCTTCCCCCAGCTGTGTACCTGTCTGCCACTCCAGGATTTCTTCCTAATTCACAGTTATTTTTAAGAAAGTCAGCAGTTCCACATACCTTTGCAAAAGATTGTTCTTTCCACACAGATACATTTCTATCCTATTTTTTTTCGTTCTATTTAAGGAGTGAAAAATATCAGTCTCTGCATGAGATTTATGCCTTCCCAGGCCCCTGGCCTGGCATATAGGCCCTGTCCCTTAAAGCTTTTTCTTTGGAATGCAGTTGGCCATTGTTTGAGAATAACACCTTGCAGTGTCTCTCCATAAGGCTGCTTAATAGCAACTGGTTATTGAGAAATCAAACCTGTTGCGCTTGTCAACAAACCAACTGGTGACTTTTTGGACCAACTCTTGTATGTCCTTCCCAACTGTACACTTGGGCCAATAAAAGCTATCATCCACAAAAATCCTTGCCCCTCACGTATGATCATTAGCTGTTGCTGGAGACCAAACATTCAGGTAGCTCGATTTGCCTGATGTATAGTGTACTAAAAAATTAATCTTGCATAAAGATGTATCAGTGACACTTAGCTTCATTGACTTGTGAAAATAGATTCTAAAATCTAATAATAATGTATGAAAGTGTTTCCTTTTTCAGTGTTGACTTTTCTACCTTTCATTGACTGACCACTTATTCCTGTGACAGGGAGAGCAGAAGTACCCAAACTATCTTTTCTACACTATTTCTTATTTGATGCCGTATTTTCTTGCATATAATACACCTCTGAATGTAATATGCATCTTGTTTTTGAAAAGCAGAATGGAGAAAAAAAGATCTTTCCTTTGTAGTAAGTACCTGAGTAGCAGCGGGTAGGGAGCCAAGCCTGCTCATTTTTCTGTTCTGGGTGAGTCCTGTGTAGATTTTACTTTCTGCCTTACTGGAAATAATAAAACTGCACTTACTGCATTTCTTGCATATAATGCTCACTGCAACTTCCAGTAGCTGGTTTTTGGAAGAAATGGTATGTGTTTGTATGCAAGAAAATAATAGTGTATTGTTATCATAACCTTTCTTATTAATATCTTCTCCAAGGTAGACAGTTCCAATGTTTTCAATCCTTTTTCCTTCAAAAGTATTTTTCATGTCTTTATTCATGTTTATTCTTGTTTCTTTTGAATCTCTTTAGTTCTGAAATATCCTTTATGACAGGGGTAGGGAATTATTTTGACTGGAGGGCTGCTTAACAGGTTTTGCTGAGCTGTTGTGGGCTACAAGGGTAGTTTTGGTCCCTGATTGCCATCTTGGGACCGGAAATCCCACTGCTGACCTTTGCCACTGGAAGTTCCTTCCCTTGCCCTGGAAGTACTCCAGGGCGGAAAAACCCCCAAATCATATAGTAAAAAATCAAACATGTACTATAACTTATTTTAATTTTATTTTAAAGATATTTTTCTCCTGATTTATATTTATTTACATAATGTATCTAGAGGCAAATGCATAATAGTTCAAAATACAGTCCTACTCTTGTATATTGTGTGTGGGTGATAAGCGGGTATATGTGTGTGGGGGGGGTGTAGTTGTGGAGTTGGGTGTGTGTGTTTGAGGGAGTGTGGGGTGTAGGTACTGTGGGTGTGGATGTGGGGTATGCGGTTGGGGTGGGGTGGGGACAGTGGGAGGGTGCGGGGTTATGGTGAGT